CAGTATGCTGGCCTGTATTAGCAACAGCATAACCAGCAGATCAATAGCAGCAAGTATTTGCTATTCAGCAATTTGTGAAACCATATTTGGCGTACTGTGTCCCAAAACGGAGTATATGATGTCAGAATAGAAACTCAAAGAAATGGGTTTGCTCAGTCTTAAGTAGAATGGCTAAGGGAAGGATAATTTTTTTTGCTGTCTTCAGCTACATAATAGAAATGTATAGAAAAGATTAAATTGAACACTTGGAGGTACACAGAGAAAAGATACAAGGCAATGAACACAGAGTGCAAGATTTCGTATTACAGTTTTCTCACAGTTGTGAAACACTGGAACAGGTTTGCCAGAGAGACTGCAAAATCTCCATCCCTTGACTACCTCAAAACTCAACTGGACATGGTCCTGGGCAATCCGATCTAGTAGGATCTGCTTTCAGCGGGAGTTTGGATCAGATGACTTCCAGAGGTCCCTGCCAATTTAATTACTCCATGATCAACCAGCAAGTCCTTAGAAAAACCACAACTACTAGACATGCCAGGAACAAAAAAACATTAGCACAAAGGCTGTACCTGTAACTACGGGCTCAGCACCTGGCAACCATTTATCTTGCTGACAGCATTTTCAGCTCTTTCCTCCATTTCTGCACAAGTTCCAAAAGTGATATCGCCCTTTCCTATTAGGAAAATTATTTCCTAACAAGAGAACAGGAAATAGATTGATATCAAATCGTGATGTTTCAAAGTTCCTCCAAGCCTGCACAGCTGCCCTTTGGTTAGGATTGCTAGAGAAGTAGTAAAGTTTTAATAAGAGAAGCAGAAGACCAGAAGAGAGAAAACAGTAGAGGTTTTTTACCTTCTCAATCTCATTCCACCATTCAGGATTTCTAGTTACTGATGTCAGACAGACTGCATCTTCCCTAAGAACTGATTATGGGACAGTGCAGTGATTATGAGAACTACAAAGGTACTCATGTCCAAGCTGGCCAAGTTAGACTGCAACTGACTACAGTATTGAGAGCTCTAAGGTACTCTCCCACCCAATCTGGTACTCTCTGATGGAGCCAGACAGAAAGGAGTAACCCAGAGGTGAATAAGAGGTAATTTTCTGAGACCAGTTATGTTGTCCAATGGGATTTCAGTAATGATGCTGATGGAAAAAGGAAAAAGTAAAGAAAAAAATTCTCTGGCAATACTCAGATTGGCTTGGCAGTGAAATAAGATCAGCAAATGCCCTCTCTTGTTCACCACTGCCTTGCTACTTTGTCTCACTCTCCTCATCTTTGGATCCTTTCCACAACATAAACTTCAACCTAAGTAAACATTCTGAATAGCTGTCAGCACCAGACATCGACTATCCAAGTCCCTTTTATCAGTGCTGTTATCTACAACACTGAAAAAGAACATATTGGCGCCAAAGATTCCTGCTCTCAGCTAGCTTCTTCAGTCTCTAATTGCAGTATACAGGGATATTTGTAACTTCCAGTGAAGTTTCAGAATCACAGGCTATCTTCACTGACGAATTCAAAACCAGCAACTTCAGTTTGTACCTTTTAATTTCATGTAACAGAGAAGGAGCACCACATGTAGTACAGTGAGAAAAGTGGTCTTTCTGGAGAAGTAGCACCTGTTAGTCTGCTTCCATCAAATACCTGAGACGTAGAAGTATAATTTGAACATTTAAAAAGATGATTTTTTTAATTTTAAACATTTAAAATGCTTTCTACCATTTTACCTTGCCATCCTACTGCTCTAGGGTTTGCTTCAAAGCATCCACTCAACTAGGGAAAATGAAAACCTGAAAAACAGTTGTCTTCTCTAATCAGCAGTTCAAAACCCATCTGATTCTGTGTTTGAGATCCTCTCTGACTATCACAGGACCACCAGGTTGCTGAGGCAGGGTTACAGCCATCTCTACCTCATCCCATCTTCTGTTCTTACAGAAGGGAATGGAGGCACAGGAACAACCCCAACATAGTGTACGAATTCTTCTCAACCACATAAAACTTCTGGTTTTATATTATGTGGAAAATTGTATGTCTTAGTCTCAAAACACTGTTCTGTGTCTGAAAACCTGAAATTTAAATGCTTTTCCTCTCCTCATTTTGAAATACATGGGATAACAAAAAGTTTCTATTTCCCAAAGAACTAACATTCTGAGAGGCCTCTACAAAAAAAAAAAAAAAAAAAAAAAAAAAAAAAAAAAAGTGATACACAAGTAATTACTGTGCAAATAAAAACATTTAAATGTTAAACAGGAATAATTAAATACTTTAAGTAATTAAGATTTTTCCTCTAAACAAATTGTCAGTATTCCAAATCGACCCGAACTGCATTTGTCACAAAATCTGCATTTGTCACAAAATCTGCAATATTGCTAAAAAATGCAGTAACTCCATTTTCTAATTAGCGTGAAGGACAAAGGGAATGAGATGACCTCTTTGTGAATTCTCCCAGTGTTAAGGGCTTACTTGTGCAGACATCTCCTCCCTTTGATAAGCCATGAACTGCTTGCTAAGAGGGAATTCCACTCTACCAGCCCTTAAGAATTCAAATTTTCACTCAGCTTTGACATCTCAGGAAGCTCTTCTGCTACATAACCCGCTTATTTTTGCCCTCCCACCTTTCAGTACACTGCTGCTGCTCCATAAAACATTTGGCAGTCCAACTTCTCCCTCTCTTTTCAGTTCCTCTGACCATCAGGAAGAACAGGGAGCAGCTCCAGTTCCCCTACAACACGGAACTTTTCTCCTCTCTGCCACTGCACCTTGTAGCTTGCTGAGGAAGAAATGTTCTGATGAACCAAAATATCTTCACTAAAATGTAGCTGTACACATAAATTATGACAGATCCCAACCACTTATGATTTAACTGCAGAATATATATAATGAAAAAACTGTTAACAGGTAAGGTGGCTGAACTGCCATAAGCAATCTTAAACCCTCCTCTCCTCACACACAATCAGCTTTGACCCATTTCATCACACTCAGTGGAAAGAAGCAAACACACTGAAATATTCTATTCTTCTATTGCAATACGCAGATGGCTTGAGCACACAGCATAGGATTATCAGATGAATCATCTGCCTATAGACTTGGGGGATGGGGTGTTACTGGGTTTTTTGAAAATCTTCCATTCTTACAATTTACATTTTCCCCATGAACGCTGCCAGGATGTGGGTTGCTTTCAAGATATTTGACCTTCTTTCTCTCCATTCTACACAGTAACATTTCCAGGAGCAAAATCCTGGGAAATCATCATCACATCTGCAAACTGACAGGCCGAGATTACCAGTGTAAAACTTTCCTACTTCCCTTTACCATTTTCTGCGTTCCCTCCCCCTGTAAGACCAGCACAGCATGGTAGCATTCCAAACTGGATCCAAGAAGAGGCACATACAAAGAATAACGCCTGTATTGTAGGGTTTTGATTTGTTTGAACTGGATGAGTTTACAGCACAACTGCATACAGAGTTAGGGCACCACACCATTGATCAGTAGCTGGAAAGGGCTGTAATTTCATGAACTTGTATAACTACTGAAGATTTTTCTATTGTTAAACTACAGCTCAAAAGGTCTAACTGCAGTATGTATGTCCGAGATAGCAAGAAAGAACAGTCTGAGTATGATTTTTTTTCCTTAAGGTTGATCACACCTAAATAACCTACACCATGAACACTTTTGGTGCAAAGCATTGATTTCATTTCACTGCTGGTACAAAGGAAACTGAACAGACATGTAAACTCCAATAGCTGAGCAGCAAGATGAAGTCAGGAAAGAAAAGTCTCATCACTAGAGGCTCCAGTTCTGAACAAGGTACTGCATAAACCTTGTTTAGTAAGAAGATGTACTTCTAAGAAGATACCCGTTGAAGAAGAAATATTTAAATAATGAAGTAAAACTCCAGCTGCATATATTATACAAGATGTTAACAAAGATGTGGAAACTGCACTTTGCTTTCTAAATCATACACCAACTGCTTGTAATTTAAGTCTACTCTGATATTACGCTAGCATCTCATAGAACTAAGATGTCTAAATGGACCCTAGCAGCATCGTTCTCTCACTTAGAAAACTAAATTACATCCCTTTCAGCAGGGAAACACTGATGGACATAAAACTCAAGAACTCCAACCCATGATATATTCCCCCAATACTTTTTTATATTTACTTGAACTGTCATAGTAACTGAGAGACATGTCAATATTGTATGAAGTGCTCGAGGTATAGGAGAAGCAACTGCACCCTGAAAGGGTTTACAAATCAAATAAAAAATTGTGAACAAGAGGAAGCTGAACAGCATAAATACACAAGTCAACAGGAAACAATTCCTGAAGATTTGGTGGTCAAATCAATGTGGATATTTCGTAGTAATGACGAAGAAATTTTAAGCACTGAGGACAAAGAATGAGATGGTTTTACAGGTATTTAGGCAGCACCTGATAAGCAAGGAGAAGTGCAGGAAAAAGTGGTAATACTCCCTGGAAAAATGGAAAACATTGCCCAGCCAACAGACACCCAACATTGTGAAACATACAGGATACCGCTGGCCTTCACTCAGGGGTAAGCCCAACCAGCTCTGAAAGACTTATCCAGCGAGAAAAAGCCTGATGGTCTCACAGAAACGGAAGAGTGAACTAAGGAAAACTGCACATTTTTTTGTCTGACCCCGACTTGCAGAGTTATTTTACGTAGCTTTCCTTAAACTGCCTCCCCTCTTAAGTGATTCTTTCAGAAGTGGAAGTTAACAAGCTGTAAAGCCTGTGAAGAGAGATCTCACGGACAGAACACCAAATACTCACATTAGCTCTTAATTTCTGATTGCTCGTGCTTTATTATTAATGCAGTTACTAATGATTTAAAAGATGAATGGAATCAAGTGACTCCAGCACGCAGTTTTGCAGTTCTTTGCTGGCTTCTACCGTTAATTTATAACATGATGAAACGGGGAGATGCTTTTTTGCCTCACTTTTCCGGCCTGGGAAGCAAGAACAGCATCTACCTACCTCGCGATGGCAGATGAATCTTCTAGAGCGTTTGAAACCGACAGAACAAAGATGCGAGATTAACACACGTTACCGACGGCCCTCGTCAGTCGCCCTGACCCCCACCCTCGGCAGGGGGTCCCGCGTTTCGACACCCAAGACGCCCCTTACCCGCCGCCGCCCGTACCCTCCCCGCCAGCCCGGGGGAGGCGGGTGAGCCCCACCGAAGGGGCGTC